AAGAACATTCTGGCAGAGGGAACAAACTGGTACAAAATCTGAGATGGGAGTTTGCTTGCTGGCTTCCAAGAGGGAAACGAGATAGCAGAAGTGGAATGTGCCAGGTTGTAAGTATCCAAGTAGCTCAGGCACACCAGAGTTAGCAAAAGTAAGATACTTGGGGAGAGCCACATATCCTAGAGCCGTTGATGCAGTTGAACACTAGCTTTAAAATGGAGAGCTGCTACAGGCTTTTGAAAGCAAAGGAGTGAAATAATTTATCAAGGAGTACGCTGACTGTGTATTCTGAATAATGTGCTATGGAGAAGTCTATAAACTGAGACTCACTAGGATTCTGTTGCAGTAATCCATGGAGGTGATGTGGTTTAGACAAAGAGGTGCAATACTGCTAGTGTATTTTGAAGGCAGAGATGGCAGGATAGAGTGGAGTGTAAAAGAAAAGGATCACAGCAATTCCAAGAGTTAACCCAGGGCCTGGAAAGACTGAAGTATTAGTAACTGAGATAGGGAAGGCTGTGCATGGAGCAAGTTTGAGGGGATAGGTGGTTGTAGATCAGCGTGCCTTTAGTTTCAGACATGTTTTGAGGTGTCTCTTAGCAGTGGGGCATGCCAGAAGCAGCAAGATAAAATAGTTATTCTTTTCCCCTCTTTTGAGTGTTTTTATGCATTTTGGTCTATGTTATAAACTTTACAGTACATTCTTAGTTTTACTTTTAGTCCATCAATTACCTTTTGGAATCACAAAAAAGGACAAATTTCCATTGTTACTTGTGTTTACGTTTAGTACTTCTAGAGCTCTTTGAACGTTTTTATCTGGTGGCATTCCCTGTGTGGAAGGGCTTTGAACATTTCTTGTGTCACAGTCTGTCAGCAATGAACTTGTTATTTTTTGTCCTCTGCCTGTGCTCCTGCCCTTCCCCAGCAGAAGAGTTCTGCCTGTTGTGATCTTGTCATTGGTCCACTGATGGTGAGGCCAGGAGAGGAAGCTCCTTGTCCTGTGTTCCAGCCTCAGTTTTGTTTAGGCTCTCTCTGCCTAAGCTGGATGGAGTTAGGCTTTTTTAGCATTCTGCCTCTCTTCCCAATGGGAACGCATTTCTCCTTTAGTGGTTGGTTGATCTTTTGTGAGAGAACATGTCCTGTTCCTTCTCTAGTGACAGGAGTCCCTTGGTAGCTGTGGTCCATGTTCCTGGGCCATACTATTTCTTACACTTCTCCCAGTAGCAGGGGATCTTTACCTTTGACCTGAGGGTGATGAAGTTTACTGCATTTTTTCCCGTATGTTCAAAGGATTTGTCTTCATATGAGAGATTGGTCAGGGCAGGAGATATAGGGGTGTCATGCTATTTTTCTAACAGCTGCTGTTCCTTTCCCTCATGCCTGAACCATTAAGGGTCTTTTTCCATCTCCTGTCTATGCCCAACCTCTTTGTGGAAGTCCTTGGAAAAGAGTTGGTGAGGCCCTGCTGGCATCCCTTGGGTCCAGGCCTTGCAGTGGTTCTTGTCTCTTTCTGCATTTACCAAATTGTTGAGATGTTAGTGGACGTGCTTACTGATGGCTCTTTCTTCAGTGACTTGCTACATCAGTATTCTCAAGGAAGATTATGATTTTAAAAATATTTACTTTTAGTGTGTGTGTGTGTGTGTGTGTGTGTGTGTATCTGTGTCTGTGTATGTATGTAGCCATGAGCACATGAGTGCAAATGCTAGTGGAGGCCTTGTGAGCTGCCTGATGTGGGGGTTGGGAACTGAACCCAGGATCTCTGCAAGAACTTAACTGCTGAACCGTCTCTCCAGCCCCAGAAAATTATGATTTTTTTAGTTTATCTTTCACCTCTCTTTGTTAGTAGGCCTTACTTTTGCTAAATTCTTGGTAGAAACTGAACTTTTAGAGTTTTAAAAATTAAATGAAATTTTAATGTATGTATTTATTTTATTTAGCTGATTCACCCAATTCTGAAAGGAATGTTTTAAAATATTCCACTTTAGTTTTCTTCCATTTCTTTTAAAAATTATATTTATTTTATTTTTATTTTGTGTATGAGTGTTTTGCCTGCACGTATGTAAGTGCACCACATGCATTGTCAGTTACCATGTGGGTGCTGGGACAGGCACTTGGGTCTTCTGGAAGAGTAGCCGGTGCTTTTAACCCCCGAGCCATCTATCTAGCCCCAGTTTTCTTCTATTTCTAATACTGAGGTATTGCTAGTTTCTCATTGCCTAAGTATGTATGCTCTTAATTATTACCTAACGTTCTTTGTCCTACTTAATGCATTCATCTATCACTAAAAAACACTATTGACACTATTTCTTTGCTTTTGTCAGTATATTTTTGTTTATTGCTAGTTTTGTTTATTTTTCTATTTTTGTTTGTTTTGAGACAGGGTCTCTGTAACCTAGGCTGGCCTTGAACTCCACTAGCCTCAGTTTCCTGATTGTTGGGATTATAGGCATGAGTCATCATGCTTAGTTTCATGTAGTTTTTTAATCATTTGTTTTATCTCATTGTAGTCATGAATAGCTAGATTGCATTTTATAATGCAGTCTTACAGTCTGATTCAGTGAGGGAATTTTACTCCATCATATTTAGTGTAATGACTGTTTAATTTTATTCATGCCATCTTTATGCGCATTATATATTTTATGTGGCTGTAACTTGTTTTTTATTTTTCTTTTGCTGTTGGTCACGGATTCTTTGCTGTGCTATTTTGTTAGCTCACTTTTTCTTGAGTGATTTAGTTCCTCTTCTTCTCTTTTACATTCAGATGTCAATGATCCCCTTCCTTTCTGCTCCTCCTAGCTGTGAGAACACTTTCCCCTCCCTTCTTCACAATCATACCTTCTGATGCGTCACACGTTGCTTAAGAGTATATCCCTACTGTTCGCAGATTTGTTGTTTAATGCATCTACTTATTTTTAAACACTGTGTGTGTGTTTTCATTTTCTCTTTTGTACTGTTTCCTGGTTCATTTTAGTTAAGAGACCTTTTACAGTTCTTTCTTATGAAAGTGTGTGAACAATAGTCCCTCCAAATCTGTGTAAATCACTCTTTTTATCTTTAGTAGTTTAAATGACTTTCAAGGGTTTTTTTTTAATTTTTTTAATTCAGTAGACATTTTCCTAGTGTCTCGTTTGATTATATTGGTTCAGTTCTTTATGTTTTACATATATGCTCCTAATTCTGTTTGAAAGCTTGTCAGAGCTCTCTTTATCATTAAAGTTTAGAGATTTTATTAGAGTATACTTAGATGCTGATGTGATCTAGCTTGGGAATGAGTGAAGCCATTTGACCCACAGAAGCAGATTTATCTTCAACATCTAAAATAGTCTTCCTAATTATTATTTCAACCTATTTTTAATATCCTCTGAACTATTTATTGGAATTAGCCTAGATCTGTTCAGTAGATATCTTATTTTTATCTTTATTTTAAAACTTTCCTTAAATTTGATTTTCTTTCTCTATTTTAGTACATTTTCTAAAAATATGTAATTGTGAAGCCATTTTTTTTTTTTTTTTTAAACGCAGGTTCTCCCTAGTAGCTCCAGCTGGTCTAGAACTTACTATGTAGACCAGGCTGGCCTCAATCTCACAAAGATCCGCTATTTTTGTTGTTGTTGTTTTTGTCTTTTTTGAGACAGGGTCTCCCTGTAGCTCCAGCTGGCCTGGAACTCACTATGTAGATCAGGCTGGTCTTGAATTCACAGAGATTCACCTGTCTCTGCCTCCTAAGTGCTGGTATTAAAGGCATGCGCCACTACACCTGGCTTTCTTCATGTTTTTTAGTTCTTAAAAGCTTTCATTAGCCGGGTGTGGTGGTGCACGCCTTTAATCGCAGTACTTGGGAGGCAGAGGCAGGCAGATCTTTGTGAGTTCAAGGCCAGCCTGGTCTACATAGTGAATTCCAGGACAGCTGAGGCTATCAGGAGACCCTGTCTCAAAAAAGACAAAAAAAAAAAAAAAAAAAAAAAAGCTTTCATGAATGGGGCTGGCTACGTGGCTTGGTGGATAAGGTACTTGCTATATAAGTGTGAAGATTGGAATTTGGATCTCTAGACCCCAGAGCCTGGGAGATACAGACAGGGAATCCTCAGAGCAAACTACACTTGCCAAATCAGTGAGTTCTGGGTTCGCTGAGACCTTTTTTCAGTAAACAAAATAGAATACAATCAAGAGAAAGACACCTAGCCTCTGACCTTCACATGCATAGACACATACATACACTTACGGACGTTTGCCCTTACACATGGGAACATGCATAAATACATTTGTGCATACCACACATACATACACACACACAATTTTTTTACTAAAAATATATTTTTGGGGGATGGTGTGTATGTTTTAATTTCCCTGAATTTCATTGGACAGTTCAGCTATTATTATTATTATTTTCATTTTTGCCATGCTGTGGTGGGAGCATATTAGCAAGTGCTCTGGCACTGAGCTGTAGACCCATCCCTTGGGTATTCCATTAAACTGAGGAGCTCCCTCTGGTACAGAAGGGTTTTTTTTTTTTTTTCCCCCCTGAATTGGGTCTGTCTCATTGTTATCTCTGACTTCACCCTCTCTGGCAGGTAGGCCCTGTTTAGGCCATTTCCATGACTGGGTCAATCATGCAGCTAGTAGTAGGCTGTTACGTGTCATCAGTCAACTCTCTGTAGTTGGCCAGGCCTCAAGGGGAGATGTCTTCCTTTTATCTGAATTTCAGGATCTTTTCATATTTCTCTAGTTTCTTGTGTCTGGCCCAGATTCTTTTCCTAGCTTTCCTCCCATTTATTAGTTATACTAGCTGTCTGCCTGAATGCAGGCTTCACTGTTGTCCAGTTGCCTGCATATGTTAGTAGCAGTTGTTTTGCTCAAGAAAAGCGAGTAGCTTAGGATAACAGGGGAAGAGGAAAGGTGCTATCTTCTGGTATGGTATGACTGTGTCTGTGTCTGTCATCTCTACCATCTATCATTTCTCTGTCGTCATCATCTATCATTTATTATTTATATCTCCACAGTCCCTTCCTCACAACCCTGCTGCATTGCTTCTTCCATATTTACTAAGTGATGCATCTCATAGTGGAGAATTATGATATAATGTGGACACCATTGCATTTCTTTCTCTGCCTCCTGCTATGTCAACTGTGAGTAATAGCTATAACTTAACAATTCTAAACCATGGACTTTATATTTTCCATATTCCAAGTGTTTGGCAGGTGGACATTTGCTACTATTGGTTCAGTGGCTCAAAGTATCAGGGTGGCAGTCCTTGCGATTTTTTTTGGTCACAAGATAGCTACCCAGCTCCAGCAACCATGCCCACATTCCAAGTGGGGAGAAACGGGACGTATACTCTCCAGGTGACTTAAATTCATTTAAGGACCTCTGAGATGTTCCCATACAATGATTTCTACTTCGAGGTCTTCTCCAGATCAAAGCAGTTATTTTATTTTTTTTAAACCTGGTCATAATATACAAAACAAGGTTATTGTTTTAATACTAAATTGAATTGGTCCAAAGGGCAATGAGACTGCTTTAGCATTCACAGCAGGGAAAGAAGATTAAGTATTTTTTATACTGAACTCTTTAGAAACACGTTTAGTACATTGGTGAAGGCCCAATTGTATTTCAAGAGCACATATGTGCAGAGTATTTTAACAGCAAGAGATAATTGTGTGCTAAGTGGGGACTCTAGACTCTTGAAAAATCATTGCTTCAAATACATTTGCTTCAACTTCAGGTTTGTTCAAAGTTACAATTTAGTTATAATTTCTTCTCCCTATACGTGTTTATTTGCTGAACCACTTCACACTAAATTATACTCAGTACTTCAGTATTAGGCATGCCCCTAAATAGCGATATTATTTTAATGTCTAACAAAACCCAGTAATTTCCTAATGTCTTCTACCTGTGTTCTTACCATTCGAATTGCCTTTACAATTTTTTGTAGCTGTTTGTTTTTGAACCAAGATATAATCAAGGACCACATACTGTTGTTGTAATTTTTAGGGCAAAATGCCTAGATTCTGGCAGCTCCAAAAAGCTAGGCTTGGCCAACCATCCTCAATACCCAAATTATAAAGAGAAGTAACAATGAAAAACAGAAAAGATTGGCTATGTTGGGAAGAGGACCAAATAAAGGGATGCAGTAATCCAAGTCTGCCTAGGGTATTGACATGGGGTTTAGGTTTAAATAGAGGACAAGAAGCATGCATAATGGAGCGTCTTGGTAGCACATCATTCTCTATACTCCAGTCTGTCTTGCAAGGTGGTCCATAAATTCTTACCCATTTGTCAGTCTCCGACGGTGTAGCCTCACTCCTGTGGATGATCATTCACATCTGGGGCTGAAGGGGTCTGGCCTAGGATTTGCTGTCCCCGGTATCCCAGGTGAGAGGAGAGGAAAGGTTAAGGACAATAACTTATCTCTATGCCCTCAGTCAAAGCACAGACACAAAGTGAAGGCAACGAAGCCAGGCTTTCTTTCTGTTTTCGGTTACCTCATGAGCCCAAGTAAGGAGCAGGGCTTTTTAGGAAAAACAGCTTCCAAGTGCCTGCGTCAGTACTGCATGTCATTCTGTCCATCCAACCTCTTTTTTTTTTTTTTTTTAACAGTCTCCCTGGCTCCTTTCTCCTTCTTTAAATACAGTGACTTCCAGAGATTAGGCTAGTTGTTTACAGAGTATCTTATACCTGGATTCATATCATCGCTTTCTCAGAACTTTAATATGTTTCTCTCTTTGATATTTCATTTAATTTGGAAATTTTGTAAGTACTTCTGGCCTGAATACATTGTAGGATAATTCTGGTTTGCCTCATTGTAACGTGTTGCAGGGATATGACTGATGTCCCCACTGCCACTCCTGCCAACACTGGCTTAAGTTCATTTTTCTGTTAGGAAGATGTTTCCCTATGTGCTTAACAAGTAGTTGGTGAGCTGACACTGCATGGAAATGCTTTGCGCTGTCAGTCTTATACCCACTTTTTTCACCTCCATTGACTATCCTTGCAAATCAGTTATACTGCCAGGGATTTCAGGTGGTAATTTGAACACTCAGATTCCCCTTTACAAGTGAGCATGCCCCAGTAAAGAAGAATGCCCATCCTACTAGCTGGCCTGATTATCCTGATAACAGTTATTATTGAAGATGCAGAAAAACGTGCTTGGTTCCTTCCCTTTACAAATTTCAATATGTTATCTTCTAATAATGGCAGCTAACTTTTGGGGGGATTTATTTATTTTTACTTTATGTGTATGAGTGTTTTGCCTGCATGTATGTAGGTTCATTTGTGCATGCAATGCCCACAGAGGCCAGAAGAAGGCATCAGATCCCCTAGAACTGGAGTTACAGATGGTTGTTAGCCACCATGTAGGTACTGGGAATCAAAACTTTGTCCTTTGCAAGAGTAACCAGTGCTCTTAACTGCTGAGCCATCTCTCTAGATCCCATGGATAACATTTTTTTAAAATGTTCATTTCTTTTTCTTCCTTAAAGTCATGATTTGTTAGTGTGTTCTAGGTAATTGCCTTCTTGATCATTTTTGTTTCCAAAATTATTCTAAATTTCCCTGAGAAACCTCTTTCTAGTAGAATTTTAGAGCTGGAAGGGAGCTCAGTGATTCAAATCCCTATTTATTCATTTAAAAAATTTTATTATTTTCATTTTATGTGTATGAGTATATTGCCTGCATGTATGTAAGTTTACCCACATCATGCAGTGCCTGTGGAGGTCAGAAGAAGGTGTCAGATTCCCTGGAACTGGAGTCATGGATGGTTGTTAGCCACCATGTGGGTGCTGGGAAGAGAACCCAGGTCTTCTGCAAGGTTAGCCAGTGCTCTTTACCACTGAGCCATCTCTCCTACCCCCCAAATCCCTATTTAAAGGACTGGGAAACTGAGCCAAGGTGTTTGGGACACCATATTGTCATTGGTAATCAACAGTAGAATAAGGGCTAAAATCCACATCTATGACACCTCACCCATGGGTTCCCCACAATTCAAAAAGAGGAAGCAAGAAATTTTTTTCTTTCAAGCCCTTCCTAGAAGTACTGAAAAAAAAAAAAAAAAGATTAGAGAATGGGGGCCAATTTTTGCCACTGTCCATTTTTGCTTGTTGAAAGTTACTGTCAGATCCAGGGGCTGACAGATTGAGTGGATCCATCATCTACTTAGTTAAGAACTATTCTGAATGAAAACAAGTGTCATAGTAGGCTGAGTTTGTGATCAGCCTGAGGTGAGTTTAACTTCCACAGTGTGGTGTATTCAGCTTGACTTTGTCTTGAGGTCTCATTGGACTTGGTGTACACAGATTTGAAAAGTCAGAACTCATTGTATGAACAAGCAGTGATTTTACATGCTTTATGAGTTTCTCCTAAAATATTGCAAACACTAGAGTTGAGTGGCCCACACGGTGATATGGCAGTGGTACTGGAAACTCCTCTCACTTGGCTCTGCCCCTTCCATCTCACCTCCTGCCACCCTCTGGCTGTCATGTGCTCACTGTGCTGCCTTCCCGCTCAGCTTGTTCTGCATTCATGGTGATGACCCTGAGATAGACAAGCAGAGATTTTTCAGAAGCTTCTCACAAATTACACACTGAAGGTAATGTCCACCGTGTAGGCACAGATGAGCAGGAGGAAAATGGTAAAGGAGCTGGGGATGCAATTCAGTCATTCCAACTCTTGCCTGGCCCCTGTCATGCACAAGACCCTGAGTTCCATTTCCAATACTGAAAAAAAGAGGGGAAAGAGTAGAAAAATAGTGGAGTCCAACAACTTGTCTTCTGCTAGAACAAAATCTTTAGCTCCTTCATTTTGAAAACTAAAACTAGTGATGGCAAATTCTAGCAGAAGTTTTGAAGGCTTTGAGAAGATTGCTTGAGATATATGGATTTCCTTCATATCCTTAGTTATGAACCTCATCTTAGACCTTTAGTATACTAATGTGAATTTACATAATTAGATTATGATGTCGTGAGAAATGTCATTTTGCAGGTTGAAAATACATAAATGTTGGCAATTTCATGTGATTCAACCAAAAAAAGTAACTTCATCTGTGAAGTTGTGTGCCCTGAATTTTCCTTTTCAGAGTGAGTAAAAGTTGATTTTAAGAAAGTGCTATTTGTGTAGTTGAGACAACATTGTTTGGTGGTTAGAGGAGGATGGGGAGTTGGACGGAACCTTGAGAGAATGTGCTCAGAGTAAGAGCAGTCTAGTGAGTGTAGATGCGTCATCTAAAGCCAGATGTCCATTACGTCCTAACGTCTGAAGTATTTCTATAGTAGGTAGGCTGGGCAGTTCAGAGTTGGCTTTTTGTGTTTTTGCAATCGCGCATCTAACAGGAACCAGCTTATTTGCTCCAATGGCCAGAACTTGTGCTTTGAGAAGGTTCATTTGGAATCACAGTTTTAAAGGTTCCGGTCAGTCAGCTGGCTTCTTTCTGGGGCCATGACCAGACATCACAGTGTGGAGCATGTGACTTGGATGCTGAAGGGAGAAAGAGTCCTTCTGCTAGCCCCACATCTCTTAAAGTTTCCACTACCACACTAGTTCCATGCTAAGGGGCAAGCTTCCATCTTGTGAGCCCTGGGGATCCCAGTAGCTTGCATCTCTCAGGTTTCTGTTTTTTCCTTCATCCCACTGAATTTATTGGTGTCCCCATTCCTTTGTCTCCTTTGCAAACACTTGAATCAATAAATTCAATTTTTTTCTCCTTTTAATTTTTACTGAAAAGAGGACCTGATTAATTGGCTTGGATGGGCATCTGTGCCACTGAGGAATGTGTACTCAGTTCTCACTCAAAGGGAATAAAAGATAATTTATTCTGGAGCTAAATATGCATGAATATGGCCAGAGAACACATACGCAGATTGTCACCAATAACATATATGTTCCATTGAGGAAATAAGTAGATTAATGAAGTTTTTGTAGTTGTAGAACAAAAGCAAGGCTAGAGATTTTTAGATGCATTGGTGGAAACATCAGATAGGTGGGTGACAGCGGAGAGGGAAACTGCTATGGGTTTCAGATGTGATCCGATGACATTTAGTTTTTGGTTGGAAGCTAGTGGTCTGCTAAGTTAATACATTCTAACAGGGTCACCTGGTAGTCACAAGGATGTTAAGTCAAACACAAGAGTAGGTAAGGAATGACTATTAAAGGACCTAAAGATAACACTAGATTATTTGTTTCTGGATCTGCAACATTCCAACTCTCCACAATCAAGACATTCTAATTGGTCACTTAGCCTTCTAGAGACATTAACATAAGTGAGACTATTTTTCTGGAGACTTTAGTTCATATTGCCATTTTAAATATTGGATAAAAGTTAACGACATGATATAGTATCCTGAAAGTTGAACCATATCTATTAATAGCAAGTTCTCAAGTTTATGACAAAAAGTACCTTATTTTTCCATCTGTTTTTCTGATTGGTTTTAATTTTGCTTTACTTCATCTCTTCAACTCAACAGTTCATGTACTACTGTGTGCTTTGAGTGGGGCATGGCCTTACTAAACATATTCAGCAGAAAGAAAAGAAGCAGGGTGGTGTCTACCCGCTCAGCTGTGGGTGTGCTTATTTCTCAGGGTTCTTCCTGAGGATGAGGTGGTCAGAGTCTGAGCTCTGCTCAGATGCTCGCAGGGTCCTGGTCTTGCCTCTGACCTTTGATAACTGACTGGGCACAGCTAGGTCACTTAAACTTGGAGCCTCACTGAGGTTTGGGCCTTTGTTAACTGACTGGGCACAGCTAGGTCATTTAAACTTGGAGCCTCACTGAGGTTCGGACCTTTGTTGACTGACTGGGCACAGCTAGGTCACTTAAACTTGGAGCCTCACTGAGGTTCGGACCTTTGGTAACTGACTGGGCACAGCTATGGCGGTCACTTAAACTTGGAGCCTCACTGAGGTTCGGACCTTTGGTAATTGACTGGGCACAGCTAGGTCACTTAAACTTGGAGCCTCACTGAGGTTTGGACCTTTGGTAACTGACTGGGCACAGCTAGGTCATTTAAACTTGGAGCCTCACTGAGGTTCAGATGTGGCTAATTTCCTCTCACTGACCAAAAACAGGTTTGGTCTCATCTTGAGAGAGCAATTGGTTCCTATTTTGCTTTGTTTTGAAATAGAATCTTACTATGTTGGTGTGGTTGGCCTGGAGCTCACTATGTAAACTGGACTGGACTTGAACTTGGGATTGCTCTTCCTTTGTCTCCTGAGAGCTACGCCTGGCCAGAGAAAGGATTACTTTTTGGAGAAAACACCTTTGGAGCTGTTGTGTCAGATTGCAGAAGGCAGAGTGCCTCATTTCCAGATGAAGTGGACTAGGAGGAATGCTTGGGCCTCCAGCTTCACCAAACTGTGCTCTCAAAACTTCCGACTAGTATATTTGTGCCACTGTGCCAACAGTCTCCACATTTCTTCAGGCTGTGTTTAGGTTATTAGAATTATAACCTCTGTAAGTGCTTCAAATGTCAATGTTTAAATCTCTGTAGATGTTTTCTGATCTTAAGATTAATGTTAAAAAACAGTCTATACCCATGAGATGGCTTAGGGTGTAAGGGTGCTTACTGCCAAACCTGATACCTCGATTCTCTCTCAGGGACCCACATGGTGAAAGGAAAGAATCAACATCTGCAAGTAGTCCTCTGATCTTCACCCATGTATCTCTCTCTCTCTCTCTCTCTCTCTCTCTCTCTCTCTCTCTCTCACACACACACACACACACACGAGTAAACAAATAAATAAAGTGGTAAAGTGACTAAAAATAATAAAAGAAACAGTCTGGACTGTGTTGGCATTTGTTGTGTTTCTAAGTCACATTACAGTTTTACCTGAATAAAGAGCCTTATAGCTTTAATTTTACAGCCAAGAGTGGACCTGAACTGAGAATCACCCATTCCAGTTCCTTCAGATGTCTCAAGAAACTGTGTCTCTAGCCAGGCGTCACTCATACTGTAGTTCAAACAGTCTTCCTAGCATCAATTGGAGAAGTGGAAGCTAGGATCCACCTTTCTTAGAGAATCTCACCCTTTGATTCCTAGGCCTAAAATATCTCTCACACACAATATCAAGCAGGCTTCTCAATTTTCCTCACTGCTTTCCATGAGAATATGCTGCTTCCAGCACTTTGATGTATTAAACAAGCACATTCACATCCATTTACTGTCTTGAGTCATGGCCAAAGTGGGGTCCTGGGGAATTAAGGTCATATGGCCAGGTCACAAGGGGAGCAGATGGCTCTGTGATCTTGTTTTTACATTGTAAAGAGTAACCTTTTTGGTTCCAAAGTTAGGTGAAAGCCATTAGCCCAGAAAAGTCATTCCTAAAGCCACTGTGGATCCCGATGACCTCCTTTTTTGTTTGTAATCTGATGGGGCTGGGTTCGTCATTTGTAATTCCTTTCAGCTTTAAATTTTTACTATTTCTAGGAGCTTCATTTTATGTTCAATAAGTAATTTCTAATCCTTGCAACGTTGCAGTTGTAGTTATTTTTCCCATTAACAGTGTTCATCAAAAATTCCCCTAAGTGTTAAGTTTTTTTTTTGTTTTTTTTTTGATTAATCTACTCCTACACAAAGGGAAGGGTCCCTGGAAAACAGTGACAGGCAGATGTGCAAAAAGCTCATCCCAGCAGGGGTGACTCTGTGGCCTCTCTGCTAGACTTTCACAGTGTCTAATGGATGGATTCAATAATTCTCTCTCTGCTTCATAATTGACACACTCAGGAGTTAGGCCTCATAGTGGACACACTCAGGGTCCAAACCTCACAGTGGGCACACTCAGGGTCCACACCTCACAGCTGACACACTCAGGGTCTATACCTCCCAGTGGACACACTCAGTTTCCATACCTCACAGTGGACACATTAAGGGCCACATCTCATAGCTGAAACATTTAGAGTTTAAGCCTCACAAAGAGCACACTTAGGGTCTACACCTCACAGTGGACACACTCAGAGTCTACACCTGACAACTGACACGCCACAGGATATGTCTCATGTTTATCCACTTTTTAAAAATATTTTATTTATTATTGTGCTGGATAGCTTTAATGTCAACTTGACACACTTGGGTTGAAGGAGCCTTAGTTGGGGAATTTCCTCTATTGGACTGGCCTGTGGCCATATCTGAGGGGCATCTTCTTGATGAGTGATGTGGGAGGGCCCAGCCCACTGTGG